GGAGAAAAGGGGAGAAGGGGGGGGGAGGGGAGGAAAAAAGGGGAAAGAAGGGGGAAGAAAAGGGTGGGTGAGAATGGAAGGAAAGGGGATAGAAGAAAAGGGGGGGAAAAGAAAACGGAAGGTGTGAGGGAATAAAGATTGAATGGGGAGGCAGGGACCTTTGCTGATATCAACAAGGGTGGTTATGATGAGGTGAAAGGAAGGGGGATTTGTTTAAATATAAGGAATGAAAGATGGGTGCCTCTTTGGTAAGTTGATTATGAATAGTATTGTAATGAAAGATGGTAATATATATTTTTATTAAATAGCTAGCCTTATCATCCTTATTCGGGAGTTAATAACGGATATGGGAATGAAGTAGTGAAAGAAGGAAAGTGTAAGAAAAAATGGTGTTACATAAGTATAGAATGGGTGAAAGTATGTGAAAAAAAAACTGTTTTTTTTTTTGGGGTTGGTGGATAATTGATGAGGATTTTGTAAGAGTATTTATGGAAACATCTGCAAAAAATATAATAAATACTTTAAAAGTTTAAGAGAGAAATCGTAATGGATTTGTTTGTTTTTTGAAACTTATGAATTTCATAGAAGGGCATGTAATAATAATTGGAAAAAAATAGATGATGGAGGAAGCAACAAGATGGATGTTTATAACGAATAACTAAGAGGAAGACAAGTCTGTTTATAATCTCCAAAAACATAGTTGGTTTGTTTTTGAGGTTGATGATGTAATCCTAAATCTGCTATTTTATGCTAACATATGAGATTGGAGTTGTTTTGTAGCAGTTACAACAATCATTTGATTTTTGAATGATAAATAGGTCCGATGCATTTTGTTTTTGTTTGCAACTTATGGAAGTCACCAGCAGCTCCCTAAAATATCTCTTGGGAAAAAAGAAGTAGAGACCTGAAGAAGCAAAGACTACCAGAATTGAAGTAATGGTCCTCCACCATCAATTCCGCTGGACCGGCCACGTTGTCCGGATGCCCGAGCACCGTCTACTAAAGCAGATACTCTACTCTGAACTCAAGAATGGAAAACGGAATGTTGGAAGACAGGAAAAGAGATTGAAAGATGGGCTCAAAGCCAACCTTAAGAATTCTGGCATAGACACTGAGAACTGGGAAGCCCTGGCCCTCGAGCGCTCCAGCTGGAGGTCAGCTGTGACCAGCAGTGCTGCAGAAAGGGAGAAACATGCCAAGGTAAAGGCATGTCAAGCCAACCCCGACTGGGACCACTTTCCACCTGGAAACCGATGCCCTCACTGCGGGAGAAGATGCAGGTCAAGTATAGGGCTCCACAGTCACCTAGGGACCCACCCTGGAAGATTATCCTACTTGGACGACGAGGGATCGCCTAAGTAAGTAAGTATTTGGCTTGTATTAACTTTCTTTTTACTTTTTCCTCCCTTAAGTTTTCTCTTTTGCTTTATAGCCCTGTTGAGGGTACTCAGGGATGGTGATAAGCATGTTATCAGATGAATAAGCGATTTTTCTGACCGCTCGCAGGAACAATACTGAGGTCATTAAAGCCAATGGCACAGTGATTGCTTCCCTGCTGTCAGGCTTATTATTTCCATTCTCGCTTTTCCCAGTTTGGGACTCAAAGCTGCTTACATCATTTTTCCCCCCTTGAAAAAATATCGTTAAGAACCCACAAGGTGCAAAAGTTAAAACAAGATTAAAACATTGATAATTAAACAGGCTCGCTTGCTCCAGCATAACAATTAGCAAGATCCAACACCTTATTTAGCGCAGATGGGACATTTGAAAGAACCCTTGTTCTTTCCAAGCAGGGCCTCTTGCCTTTGCCGTATTGTGTTGCTCATTAAGTTTCGTTTGTATTGTTTTTTTCAAACGAGCTGATCTACATTTGTTTCTGCTTTATCACCTTTATCTTAATTAGCTTGCAATTTGTTTCATCTGTGCTTTTGCAAAACTTTCTGCGAGCAGGCATCCAGATTTCCAGAGGCAATCAGCCTCTCGAATGGATGGAAGGGCCGTTTTGAAACATAGGAGAAAATAGGGATTATGTTGTTGGGTTGTTGTAGGTTTTTTTGGGCTATATGGCCATGTTCTAGAGGCATTCTCTCCTGACGTTTCGCCTGCATCTATGGCAAGCATCCTCAGAGGTAGCGAGGTCTGTTGGAACTAGGAAAAAAGGGTTTTATATCTGTGGGACAAAGGACTCTTGTCTGCTGGAGCTAGGTGGGAATGTTTCAACTGACTACCTTGATTAGCATTTGAATACCTGGCAGTGCCTGGGGCAATGTTTTGTTGAGAGGTGATTAGATGTCCTTGTTTGTTTCCTCTCTGTTGTTTTGCTGTTGTAATTTTAGAGTTTTTTTAAATACTGGTAGCCAAATTTTGTTCTAGGTGGGAATGTTTCAACTGACTACCTTGATTAGCATTTGATGGCCTGGCAGTGCCTGGGGCAATCTTTTGTTGAGAGGTGATTAGATGTGTCCTTGATTGTTTCCTCTCTGTTGTTTTGCTGTTGTAATTTTAGAGTTTTTTAATACTGGTAGCCAAATTTTGTTTGCTAGGTGTGAATGTTTCCACTGACCACCTTGATTAGCATTTGATGGCCTGGCAGTGCCTGGGGCAATCTTTTGTTGACAGGTGATTAGATGTTCCTGATTGTTTTCCCTCTGTTGTTTCGCTGTTGTAATTTTTAATCGCATTGACCGACCGTCTGCGCAGGGTTCTATACTTCGCACTTTAACAACACAACCGTTCAATGCTAAGGCTTCCTGCCAAAATGGAACTGTAGAGGAGAGTCTACTGAACAAGCCAGTACCTGCCGCATACCAGTACTGCCATCTGTTGAGGAGTTACGAAGGTGGAGGCATTACTTTTCACTTTAACAACAAAACTGTTCAATGCTAAGGCTTCCTGCCAAAATGGAACTGTATAGGAGAGTCAACTGAACAAGCCAGTACCTGCCGCATACCAGTACTGCCCTCTGTTGAGGAGTGACGAAAATGGAGGCATTACTTTTCACTCTAAGAACACAACCACTCAATGCTAAGGCTTCCTGCCAAGATGGAACTGTAGAGGAGAGTCTACTGAAGAAGCCAGTACCTGCCGCATACCAGTACTGCCATCTGTTGAGGAGTTACGAAGGTGGAGGCATTACTTTTCATTCAACCCTCGTATCGAAGTGTGTAAACTTTTTTTAGTACAATACTAAACATTTAGGAAATGGATATCTGACTCTTCAAAGAGGTAAATCCCATGGTATTTCTGCTGATGTGTTTTGAAAATGTGTAATGTAGATTTCAAAGTATGTATATATGTTTAATATAAAATGCAATGCTATGTGCCGAGTGTAATTACTGTGGGGAAAGGGTTAACTGAACCCTGAAGGGAATCGGCATTTCTAGAGAGGTCATAAATCTTAGTGCAGGGAGCAATGGACGAAATGTAGTGCGTCATACGTCACTCTGGAATGTAGGAGGTGTGGACTAATGCTGATAACAGCGTGTTCTGTGTTCGTGATGTAGCTGCCGGATGGAGAGGAAGCAGTTTTAATGATGTGCTTAGCTTCTAATGTAAATAGATGTACAATAAATTAGTTGATAGCTTAAAGGAGATTGTGATCGATGCATTTCCTTGCCTTGCTGTGCGGAGATACCACTGACAATTTCTTCCTCTGTCCAAAAATTATATGTAGGATATAACTTAGAATACAAACCATCTTATTCTCCAAATGAGTGCCAGGATCATGCTCAGAATCCAAATAATATTGAGCTATGCAGATGATATGGCAACTCTAAATGTAGCAGTTTGTTCAGAATCAACAGAGATCATTTTGGTGCTGTTTGTACTTTTCTTCTTTATTTAATGATGTTGTTGTCGTGGGTTTCTATGCAGTGAAACTCAAGGTTTTGTGTCTCTTGGTTGTCTTTCTCTATTTGTAGGCTTCCACCAATCGAAAGCGAGTGGAGAACATTGCAAAAAAGAAGTTGGATTCTCTGATTAAGGAATCCAAAATCCGTGATTGTGAAGATCCGAATAATTTTACAGTTTCCACCTTACCACCATCTGGGAAACTTGGTAACAAGCATGATCTCAAAAAGGTGAGAATTTTGATTGCGATTTTCCTAGTAATGTTTTAATAGAATGAGTTTGCCTGACCTGAAAACAACGTGTTAAAGTTTTGTAACTTTGCATATCTATCTTAACAGGTTCAATCTACTTTTATTGCTTCCTCTAGTCCTTGATTGTCCCAGCCAAATGTTTTGGACAAGTGGTTTCCTATGAACCTTGTATGTTTCTATAAAACCTATTCCCAACTTTTCTGTGTCCCGTGTTGACACTCATTGCATGATTCCTAAGGAGTCATGACAATATTTATCTGTGCTCGACATAGAGAACTAGCAGGTTCTTCCTAAACATGAATCCATGAATATGAGCACAACACTTTCCCAAAGAATTAAACATAGACTTGAACGTGGAACAAGATCAAGGTGTACACAGTAACGCAGCATTGCCTGCTCTGACCCTTTTGGTAAACAACACTTTGATTGAAGGACCACAAGCCATGAAGTCATGCCTTTGACATCTGCTTTGTCTCAAGGATTTCTCATGGAGTCTCTGTGACCTCTGAAACCTGGCTTCCTCCTCCTGGAGATCAAGTCCCCAACTCCTATTGACCTCAGGTGTTTTCCCAGGGGGAAGATCTTTCCCTTCCAACCCCTTATCTTCTATTGCCAAGGAACGACTAAGGGAAAGGTTTTCCCTATCTGCCACAGTATCTCCATCTCCGCCCTGCTCTGAATCCATTTCCATCTGACCAGACACAGACCCATTCTTCCAGAATGAGCCATGATCCAAAAACCCCTCGTTTCCCACACTGGAAAACCCATCATTCCTCACAATCTCTGACTGAACCATTCCCTCATATCAAGCCTCTGGATGAACAACAACAGAAACATTAAATAATTTGACCCCTTATTTGCTAAATGAAGTGATACAGTCACAGACATGATTTCATAGCTTGACACATCTATGAGAGTAGACCTCATGGAGGTGTCAAGGTCCGAAGTTTACAAAGAAAACAAATATGCTACAGGGTACATACAGAGGTGGCCTTAGGTAATTTTCAGTGGTAAACAAACAGTCGTTTGGAGCCCCCCCCCCCACCAATCACTGATATATATTTTCTGTTCACCATGGAAGTTCTGTGTGCTATATTTGGTTCAGTTCCATCATTGGTGGAGTTCAGAATGCTCTTTGATTGTAGGTGAACTCTACATCCCAGTAACTACAACTCGCATATGTCAAGGTCTATTTTACCCCAAGAGCACCTCAAGAGCACCCCGGGTAACATCAACTCTACCGCGACTGCTTACTTTGCGTAATGGGTGAGCCGCCCCTGCCTGTATGCCACATTTGGTTCAATTCCATCCTTGGTGGAGTTCAGAATGCTCTTTGATTGTAGGTGAACTATGCATCCCATATGTCAAGGTCCATTTTCCCCCAAGAGTGCCTCAAGAGCACCCCTGGGCAAAATGAACTATACTGCAAATGCTTACTTTGCGTAATGGGTTAGCCGCCCCTGGGTACATCGCTACGATACATCTATGCTATTGTGATTACATGTTCCAGCTTGTGAATATCCCTCTTGCATTGTGCCCAGAATTGGACAGTCTTCCAGATGAAGTCTGACCAAAGCAGAAGAGAGGGGCACCATTACTTCCCTCGATCTAGACATGATACTCCTTTTGATGTAGTCCAAAATCCCATTGGTTTTTTGTGCTGCTGCATCACATTGTTGGCTCGTGCTCAGTTTGTGGTCAACAAAGGTCTCTTTCACATGTACTATTGTCAAGCCAGGTGTCCCCCATCCTGTATCTCTGTGTTTCATTTATCCGACACTTCATGTTGAAATTCATTTTCCTAGTTAGAGTCATTTTGGAGTATTAGCTATTCCTCCCAAATTAGTATCATCTCCAAACCTGATAAGCGTGCCTCGTAGACTTTTGCCCGAATCGCTGTTAACAACAAGATTTGCAGTTTTCGAAGGTCCATTTTTATTTAATTTACGAAAACAGAAAGGGGAAGAGAGAGATGAAAAGACCAGCAAAATGGATTCAGAGAGCTGATATTTTCGGAAAGAGATAAATTCACAAAATACCCTAGGCAGGGAGATTTGTGGCATCTTTTTCTCTCCCCAGCAGAAGAAGCCTCCTCCATTTGTTTCTTGGGAAGTTACCTCCTCTTCCCGGGAGGGCCCTGGGAACTCGCTTTCCCAGAAGCACTAACCTAGGGTGGCCATTGAAAAGTTCCTCTCGGAGCATAATGGGAGTTGAAGTTTCTCTCTCAGTGTGTCTCTCAGCCAATCAAAAGCCTACTTGTGTCCATGCTCTGATTGGCTGAAAATAGACACAACCAGTGACAACAATTCCAAAAATCCTCTCTTGCAGTATGTCTTATTTTTTAAAAATGTTATGGTTAAAACTTAAAAGAGTTCGAAAAAATCAGTAGATTGGTGAATTGTTTTGAAATTTGGCAGACCTGCATGTGATGGCGTGAGTGGTGCCACCTACGTGTAGAACTGTCAGTTGCAAGATTTAAACTGTTGTATCATGCTTAATCCTGCCTTCTTACCCTGCTTATGTATAGTTGGATTGATTGGTTATTTATAGCTGTCAATCAATGTTGTTTGCACCAGATGGATTGGTTTCTCAGCTCAATTGTTTGGCTCCACCTCTTCCTGGAGGAGGGGAGTGCTTCCCATTCTTTCATTCTGCCATCAGAGTTTCTATCAGATGGTCGTGAGTAAGAGACTTGGCTCTAAAAGCCCCTGCTTAAATTACCTCTCAGCACCAATTCTAAGGTTTTTTACCCTTGGGACCCATGCTTTATGTCCAGATTGTCCTGGACAACATTGAGGAGACCCAAGTGCCATTAAACCAGTTCTTTTGGCACCAGAGGAAGGTCTTGTCCCTTCAACATAGGCCATTGGACTGGGGTTGTGTTTATTCCGATATTCACAGCCATTGAGGAAAGAGGAAACAGGAAAAGCTTCTCAGCTGCAAACTCCTTGGACTTCAGAGATTGTAAAGTATATTTCCCGTATCCCTGTTGAAACATCAAGCTTCTGCCTGAGAAAGATAACTCATTCTGAACAATAAATACCATGTCGAGTTATCTGTTGCGTTTTGGTTTTTGGGAGTTCCAGTTTCCTAAAGGAGAGCAAGAAGCAATCCCCTGGGGAAAGATGCCACGTCCATGCCTCTTTCACTAAGAGTTATAGCCCCCAGGCGCGACGGCACGCTGCAGTTGTAAATGGGGTCTACAACTGAGGTAGGTCTCGTGCAGATAGGCCTTAAAGTGGCTGAGGATTGAACCTTTAAAATTTCCCATTGTAGCCAATGAGCTGAATCTCTGCCAAATGAAATGGAAACACGCCTCCCCTTTTGGTAAATTTCCGCTAAACAAAATGAAGGGTCAGACGAAAACGGACCCCAAAATGGCATGCCTTTTGGCCTGAATGCACATCCCTAATGCCTTCTATACCCTCAACCAAGCCATTAAAAAAGATGTTGAACAGCCCTGGGCCCAGGGCAGAACCCTGTGGCACCCCATTGGTCACTTCCCTCCAGGAGGAAGAGGGACCATTGGTGAGCGAGCGCCCTTTGGATTCGGTCGCTCAACCACCGAACAGTAGTATTGTTTAGCCCTTTTATTTGTTTATCTACCACCTGGCTTGCTGCGTCCCCGCTCTGCGCTTCTTCTAAATTGGCTGCAGGGAGAAAAAGGAGACATGACACCCGCAGAGCCCTTTTGCTCTCTGGCAGGAAAGGCACTCCGGACTCCGGTTCCGCATCACACGTCCAGGTCAACTTGACGGCGATGCCACCTTCTTACCCAAGCAGAGGTGATGATTCCCATAAGCACAAGTCATTCTCTTGGCGACTGAGTCATGCCTGGAGACGTTTGGCTGTATTTTTAGAGCAGCGGCATGCTTTTTGTTTGTAAACACAAACACCTACACAATCCCCTGCTTCCTTGAGAGAGAGAGAGAGAGAGAGAGAGAGGCTCAAGGCAGATGAAATACAACTCTTTCTTATTTATTATTTATGTATTTACTTTATTTCTGTACCGCTTTTCTCAGCCCTCAGCTGACTCAAAGCGGTGAACAACATCAGTACAAAACATCACGACACAAGTATAGGGCAATTAAAAACAATTACAACATAAATCATTAAACATCCGTATAACAATCATGAGCGCCTCAACAGTAAAATCAGAATCCAGTCTTGTCATCCATTATTCCGTATTCCTATGTTCAATTACACTGTTTAATCAAATGCTTGTTCGAACAGCCAGGTCTTCACTTTCCTCCGAAACGCCAGCAGGGAGGGGGCCGATCTGATATCTGCAGGCAGGGCGTTCCACAGCCGAGGGGCCACCACTGAGAAGGCCCTGTCTCTCGTCCCCGCCAAGTGCGCCTGTGATGCAGGCGGGACAGAGAGCAGGGCCTCCCCAGATGATCTTAATGTCCTAGTCGGTTCATAGGAGGAGATGCGTTCGGAGAGGTAAGTAGGGCCAGAACCATTTAGGGCTTTATAGGCTAACGCCAGCACTTTGAATTGTGCCCGGTAGCAAACTGGCAGCCAGTGGAGCTGGCGCAACAGAGGAGTGATATGCTCCCTGAATGCCGCTCCTATTAGCAACTTGGCTGCCGAACGCTGGACCATTTGAAGCTTCCAAGCAGTCTTCAAAGGCAACCCCACGTAGAGAGCGTTGCAGTAGTCTATATGGGATGTAACCAGAGCGTGGACTACCGTGGCCAAGTCAGACTTCCCAAGGTACGGGCACAGCTGGCGCACAAGTTTTAACTGTGCAAATGCTGAGCCTGGGGTTCTAGGCTCAGCGACGAGTCCAAGATCACTCCCAAGCTGCGAACCTGCGTCTTCAGGGGGAGTGTAACCCCGTCCAACACAGGCTGTCACCCTATGCCCTGTTCGGCCTTGCGACTGACCAGGAGGACCTCTGTCTTGTCTGGATTCAATTTCAATTTGTTCGCCCTCATCCAGACCGTTACAGCGGCCAAGCACCGGTTCAGGAC